AGAGAGCCCCTAACAAGATTAACCCTTGGAGGTCACATAATAATAAAAGATACATAATAATAAAAATGGCAAAAGTAACAACAAAAAGAATGTTAAAAGCAGCAAGAGAAAGAAAAAGTTACCTAAAAGGGAAACTCTGTAAGGCTTTAGCCGATTTTTTTTTAAAAGAAACTTTGCAAGCCAGGGTCAGAAGCAGGATATTCACCATGCAGAAAGGAAAAAAACAAAACAAAAAAACAACTGAGAATACTCTACAAAGCAAGGTTATCATTCAGAATTGAAGAGATAAAGAATTTACCAAACAAAAGATAGGAGTTCACTGCCACCAAATCAGACAAGAAATGTTAAAGGGAATTCATTGTAAAGTAAAGGCCACACCTAGAAGAAAATTATGGGAAAAATTCATAGGTAAAATAAGCATTTAGTAAAGGTAATAGATTAATCACTTATAAAGCCAGTATGGAGGTTAAAACACCTAAGTAGTAAAATCAGCTATATCTACAAAAATCAGTCAAGGGTACTCAAAATAAAAAGTTGTAAACTATGACATCAAATACATAAAACATCAAGGAGGTAAAACTTTAGTACTTATACAATTTGTTTGACTTAAGCAAGCAGCAACTTAATATAGACTGCTATATACATAGGATGTTCTATATGAAACCAGTGGTAACCACACATCAATAACCTGTCATAGATATACAGGAAATAATAAGAAAGGAATCCAAGCATAAGACTAGAAGCCATCATACCACGAAGAAAGAAAGACAAAAAAGGAACAGAAGAACTATATAAACAACCAGAAAATAATTAACAAAATAACAGTAAGTACATACTTGTCAATAATTAATTTAAATGTAAATGGACTAGGTGCTCCCATCAAAAGACATAGGGTGACTGAATGGATTAAAAAACAAGACCCATCTATATACCGCCTGCAAGAGACTCACTTCAGATCTAAAGACAAATATAGACTGAAAGTAAAGGGATGGAAAAACACGTACCATGCAAATGGATGTGGGGGGAAAAAAGCCAGGGTAGCAATACTTCTATCAGACAAAATGGACTTTAAAACAAAGACTGTAGCATGAGACAAAGAAGGGTACTACATAGTAATAAAGGGATCAGTCCAATAAGAGGATATAACAACTGTAATTATCTATATACCCAACGCAGGACCACCTAAATATATACGGCATGTACTAACAGACATAAAGGGAGAAATTGACAGTAAAGCAATAGCAGGGCACTTTAACACCCCATGTCCATCAGTGGATAGATCATCCAGCTTGAAAAATCAAGGAACAGTGGCTTTGAATGACACATTAGACGAGATGGACCTAATAGATATATAAAGAGCATTATTCCAGACCCAGAAGAATATATATTCTTTTCAAGTGCATATGGGACATTCTCCAGGCTAGATTACATGTTAGGCCACACAAAAAAAAGCCACAGTAAATTTGAGAAGACTGAAATCATACCAAGTGTCTTTTCTCACCACAACAGTATTAAACTAGGTATCAATTACAAGAAAAAAAAATCTGGAAAGAACACAAATACATGGAGGCTAAATAACATGCTACTAAACAATAAATGGGTCCACTCAAAAATCATAAATAAAAAAATACCTAGAGACAAGTGAAAATGAAAACACATTGGTCCAAAATCTTGGGATACGGCAAAAGCAGTTTTAAGAGGGAAGTTTATAGCAATACAGGTATACCTCAACAAACAAAAAAATCTGAAAAAAAAAAAAAGCTGACCTTACACCTAAGGGAGCTAGAAAGAGAAGAACACATTAGTTCTACCAAGCATTTAAAGAAGAGTTAATACCTATTCTCAAACTATTCAAAAAAATAGAAGTAGAAGGAAAGCTTCCAAAAACATCCTACAAAATTAGTATTACCCTGATACCAAAATCAGACAAACACTACAAAAACAAAATGAAAAAACTACATGTCAATATGCCTAATGAACATTGAGCAAAATCTTCAACGAAACATTAACAAAGTGAATTTAAAAATACATTTAAAAATTATTCACCACAATAAAGTGGGATTTATTTCAGGATATTAGCATTATTTAATATTATCAATCAACCTGATACATTATATTAACAAGCAAAAGGATAAGAACCATATGATCTTCTCAATAGATGTAGGAAAAGTATTTGACAAAATACAATGTCCATTCTTGATAAAAACTCAACAAAGGGAGTTTCAGAGAAAACATACATCAACATAATAAAGGCCACATATGAGAAGCCCACAGTTAACATCGTATTCAATGGTGAAAAACTGAAAGTCTTTCCTCTAAAGGTCAAGAAGAAGAAAGGATGCTTATGCTCACCACTTTACTTCAACATAGTACTAGAAGTCTTAGCTCCAGCAATGGGACAATAACAAGAAATAAAAGGCATCCAAATTGGCAAAAAGTAATACTATTACTATTTGTACATGACATACTATATAGAGAAAACTCTAAAGACTCCACCAAAAAAAATCTATACGAATGGATAGAGGAATTCAGTAAAGTTGCAAGGTATAGAATACACAGAAATCTGTTGCATGTCTATATACTAATAATGAAGTAGAAGAAAGAGAAATTAAGAAAACAACTCCATTTGCAATTGCACCATAAATAAAATACCTAAGAATATATTTAACCAAGGAAGTAAAAGACCTGTATTTTGAAAACTACAACAACATTGATAAAAGAAATTGAAGACAAAAATGGAAATATACTCCATACTCATGGATTAGAAGAATTAATATTATTAAGAAGTCCATACTACCCAAAGTAACCCACAGATTGAGCTAATCTCTATCAAAATTCCGAAAGCCTTTTCACAGAACTGGGATAAATAATCCTAAAATTTGTATGTGACCACAAAAGATCCTAAACAGTCAAAACAATCTTGAGAAAGAACAAAGCACAATCCCAGTATCACAGTCCCAGATTTCATGATATAACACAAGGCTATAGTGATCAAAACAGTATGATATTAGCACAAGAATAGACACAGATTCATCGAACAGGATAAAGAAACCAGAAATAAACCCACACCTATATGGTCAATTAATCTTCAACAAAAGGAGGCAAGAATATACAACAGGAAAAAGACAGTCTTTTCAATAAATGATGTTGGTAACACCACTTTCTTACACCATACACAAAAATAAACTCAAAATGGATTAAAAACCTAAATCTGAGACCTGAAACCATAGAACCCCTGAATGAAAACATAAGCAGTAATCTCTTGGACATCAGCCTTACCAACATACTTATGGATATTTTTCCTCAGGCAGCAGAAATGAAAGCAAAAACAATTAATTGTGACTACACCAAAATAAAGTTTTTGCACAGAAAAGGAAGCCATCAACAAAAAGGCAACCCAGTGAATAGAAGATATCTATAAATAATATAACTGATTAGCATATGTAAATATTAATATAACTGACAAGGGATTAATATCCAAAATATATAAAGAACTTCTACAACTCAACACCAAAAAAAAAAAAAACCACACAAAAACAAACAAACAAAAAACTAATCTGTTTTAAAAAAAATAGGCAGAGGACCAGAATAAACATTTTTCCAAAGGAGACCTGTAGATGGCCAACAGACACATGGAAAGATGCTCAACATCACTAATCACCAGGGAAATGCAAATCAAAATGACAATGAGATAACACTTCACACCAGTCAGGGTAGCTAGTATCAAAAAGACAAGAAATAGGGGCACCTGGGTGGCTCAGTCAGTTATGCATCCAACTCTTGATTTCAATTCTGGTCATGATCTTATGGTTCAAGAGATCGAGCCCCGAGTCGGGCTCTGTGCTGACACTGTGGAACTTACTTGCAATTTTCTCTCTCTCTCTCTCTCTCTGCCTCTCCTCTGCTCATGCTCTCACTCAAAATAAATAAATAAACTTAAAAAAAAAAAGACAAGTAATAACAAGTGTTGGAGAGGATGTATAAAAATGGGAACTCTCCTATGTTATTGGTGAGGATGTAAATTGGTGTAACCACTGTGGAAAACAGTATGGGTCTTCTTCAAACAAATAAAAATGATAACAACATATGATCCAGTTATTCCACTACTAGGTATTTACCCCCCAAAACCAAAAACTCTAATTTGAAAAAAAAATACAAGCACGTATAGTTTTATTGCAGCATTATTTACAATAGCTAAGATATGGAAGGAACCCAAGTGTCTATGAATAGACGAATGGATAAAGAAGTGGTATGTTGGGGCGCTTGGGTGGCGCAGTCGGTTAAGCGTCCGACTTCAGCCGGGTCACGATCTCGCAGTCCGGGAGTTCCAGCCCCGCGTCAGGCTCTGGGCTGATGGCTCGGAGCCTGGAGCCTGTTTCCGATTCTGTGTCTCCCTCTCTCTCTGCCCCTCCCCCGTTCATGCTCTGTCTCTCTCTGTCCCAAAAATAAATAAACGTTGAAAAAAAAAAAAAAGAAGTGGTATGTATACACAATGAAATATTACTCAGCCACAAAAAAGAATGAAACCTTGCCATTTGTGACAACATGGAGAATCTAGAAGGTTTTATGCTAAGTCAGAGAGAGACAAATATAAATACCGTATGATTTCACTTACATGTGGAATCTAAAAAAAAAAAAAAAAATCCCAGACTCTTAAATACAGAGAAAAAAATGGGTGGTTGCCAGATAGAAGACAAATAGAAGTACAGTATAGGTAATATAGTCAATAATATTATAATAAAGTTGAATGGTGACAGTGAATATACTTGCTGTGCTGAGCATGAAGTAATGTTAGAATTAATGTTTAGTGAGAATCAGTTGGCTATATGAAATTTATAATTAAAAAGACTTTTTAATTTGTGTATTGCTTTTCTTATAGCAATATGTTTAAATATAAATATATGTGTACACAGATACACATGTAAGACACTGGGGGTTGGTTGTTGAATGTCTACTAACACTTGGCTGCTTTGGGGTTTTTCTCATCTTCAATATTGTAGGAGCCTAACTAGGACCAGGTGGAGACCACAGGGCGCCAGGCACTATGAAGAACTGGTCCAATCGTTGCAGGTGTTTGCGGTTGGAACGGGCTGCCTCAAGAGGTGGTGAGGTCCTGTTGCTGCGCTGACACCAAGGCCACTCCACAGGGGAGAAGAGGGTGCAGATGATGTTGGATGTGCTTCCTTCTCAACCGGAAAGTTTCATACCCAATAGGGAAGAGGGAGTCAGAGTGAGAGGTGGGTATGGCACTCGTGAGGCAATGGCCGATGGCTCTTGCCTACTTTCAAGCTCAGAACGTATCAGTCAAGAGTCTTATCAACTTATTGATATCCCTTAATCAATGGAAACTCCCTGGGTGGCCAGAGTCAGAATACATTGCTCCTTGAGTTAATCCCCTCCACTACGGTGTATGCTTCCTCAGTTGCTGTGCATTTTAGGTGTTTGCGTGGTAGCTTCTCATCTGAGAATTTATGCCTTCTGTGGCTGAGGCTTGTGCCTCGCCATAAATAAAAGAGTTGCTTAAGAAATCATTTTTTCTCTAAATGTATTTTAAAAGAAATCAATATAAATCCAATTTGTCCTTTTTTTCTCCTGTTTTGGTTTCTCAAGCTCTAGAACCCCAGAGATGGTCAGAAAACCTTCCCTCATTGAATGCCCTCGGAGCCATCAACCCTCTCCACTGCCCAGTTGAGAATAACTTCATCAGTGGATAATATTCTGACATACATCATCTGTGTATTATAAGGTTTAACTGGGATGGTTTTCTCAGAACTTCAAGACTGAGTTCAACTGAAGCAGATCAGTGAATATTTTTTTAAATTAACCTGGCATTAATACTGGTTTAACATCAGTGAAAAGCCAAGTAGAGGTTTTGAATGTAAGGAAGCTGGTTTCAGCCAAGTAACCTCTTTGATCCAGAATTGTACTAAACACATACACACTATCTGTTCTAATCTTCAACATTCTGCAAGAAGAAGAAACTGAGGCTAAGAGATTAAGATGGCTTGCCTGGTTGTGAACCAAATGCCTCACCTTGAAGGTGGCAGGACCACCATTTGAACCCCCCCATTCTAAATACCATTGTTTTTCGTATAAATCTTATTGCCTCTTTATAGAAGGCTTCTACTTGAAAACAGAGGTTTCCACATTAGTCTATAGGATAAACATCCTTCAGCTGATGATTCCTAATTATCCACAGGAGAAGACTGTCATAGTGCCCAATGAGGGAGAAAAGAGCTATTTGAAAAATAATGTGGAGATTGCTCTGGCTGTTTTTGATGGACGCAAAGACATGAAAAATGGGAACCAAAAACAGAGGGGGAAAAAAGCCCATTCTGAAGCTCTGAAGCCCCATGACCCAGGTGTACATCATACAGTCAGCTGTCAAGAAAGACTCCATTGGCCCACTCACAGGGGTTCTCCCACCATGTGGCCACAGTCCCCTTGCATATGACGGAATCCTCTGTGTTCTCTAAGGGTCTCCTTCCCCTCTGGTTCTTCTCATGCTTCGTCTCTCCAGAGAACCTGGCAGCCGGTTCTAGCCCTCAACGCCCTCATGCCGGCCCCTGTGGCTTCATTCCTGGAAACATGATTTTCTCCATTTATTCCCACCTGTTGTCTCTAGACTGTCAGTACCATGAGGGGATGACGAGGACGCTCTACTGAAATCACATGAATCAGAACCTCATGCAGCCCGCACAAGAACCTGAAAAAACTTCAGGCTTAACACCACTTGCCAGCATGGGGCAGTTCTCCACACCCTCAGAACGGCCTTACGTATAGCCTCCCACTGACTTCCCTCAAAGTAACCTTAGCTCTTAACATCTTGCAAAGTGATTTATGTGAGCCAATTACTAACTGGAGTATCCGGAAAACAGAAACTGGAAAAAAAAAAAAAAAGTGTTGTCTGAAGTTGAGAAAAAAGATCCCAGAACTGCTGAGATGACTTTACACACACACACACACACACACACACACACACACACACACACACACTCATTCACTCTCTCCCCCTTCTCATTATCTCCCCCCCTCCCCTCCTCACTCCTCCCCTCCCTTACTCTTTTCTCTCTTCCACTGGCTCCTCTCTCTTCCTTCTCCTCTCTCTCTCCCATTCTCTCTCTCTCCCTCTCCCCTCCTCTCTCCCTCAGGAATTGTTAATGAAGTAAACATATTTTGATCTAGTTAACAGTCTCAAAATAACCTTATATACATTGCTCTCGTGTCAACCATAAAAGCATCCTAAACCTGTATTTTGGCAATACTCCACATGCACAGGTTTCAGAACGTGTGCCCCAGGAATCCAGAAACCAGGGGCTATCTTCAGGAGAGTGGCAACATTTGATTTATGCTTTGTGTTTATAAATGTCGAGGCAGCATAATTTTGAGTAATATTCAGAAAGTATGTACCTACCAAGCTGTAAAAAATGACTGACTGCAAGTTAGCTGGTGAGTTTTCCTAGACTTCAAGTTTTTTTGTTTTTTTGTTTTTTTTTGTTTGTTTGTTTTTTTTAGAGACACACAAAAACATTGACATAGGAAAGAAAATCTTATAATTACACTTTGTTCTCCTCCTTGCGCATTTCAAAGCAACCATCCAAAGCTAGTGCTTTGTAACATACAAACCAGGACTCTGCAACTAGCCCAACTATCAATTTATGTTCTTTTTTGGAAACAACTTGACTCATCTCCTAGTCCACTTTCCCTTTTCATTACTACAGGAGTGACTTAGAATAATGTTTGTCTAAACTGGGAGGCTGTTTCCTCATTACTCAACGCACAGCTTGTCGGTTTCTTACCAGCCTATGGCATTCCATGGCAGGTATGGGGTATCTTCACAGGCCAGCCTGTCTGGAAAGGGCGGGATGGGATTACTACTGACTATGCTTTGCCCCTCCATCTTCATAAAGTGGCCACATCCTTGATTTCCTTATTTGCCAATCTAGGAGAACGTTGCCTTCTCTGGGTGGATGCTAGGAGCAAATGAAATCGCTCTTGGCACTAATGATTACTAATCCTTTCCTTTTCTTAAAGGACCTTTCCTCTACCTCTTCACAGCCGTGACTTCTGTCAGAAAACACGGGACCTGCATGAGAAGGGCTTGTTCCCATCCCCGTGCTGATAATCAACGTCTGGGCCTGTTTCCTCAGTTGTGAATAAAGGGTCGTGTTAATGGATCTCTGAGCTATGACCCAGTGTGATTATCTTAATATCGTTTGTGGGCTTATGTAGTCTAACTTTTGATAATTTTCTATGTACCAAACACTGATCTAAACAATTTACAAATGTTTTGTTTCACATAAATCTAAGGTAATATTTTCAATTTTTTTTTTAATTTTTTTTTCAACGTTTATTTATTTTTGGGACAGAGAGAGACAGAGCATGAACGGGGGAGGGGCAGAGAGAGAGGGAGACACAGAATCGGAAACAGGCTCCAGGCTCCGAGCCATCAGCCCAGAGCCTGACGCGGGGCTCGAACTCTCGGACCGCGAGATCGTGACCCGGCTGAAGTCGGACGCTTAACCGACTGCGCCACCCAGGCGCCCCAATATTTTCAATTTTAAGAATTCAGGTATTATCCCCACTGGCAGGTGAGGTGATGCACGCACTCAGTGAGCACCCAGTTTTCCTGAGGTTTCACAGCTATTAAGGGGGAAACCAATCAGATTTTAGACTACAAGTCTTTTTTTTTTTTTTTTTTAACATTTATTCGTTTTTGAAATACAGAGCATGCCCAAGCAGGGGTGGGGCAGAGAGAGAGAGGGAGACACAGAATCCAAAGCGGGCTCCAGGCTCCGAGCTGTCAGCACAGAGCCCGACACAGGGCTCGAACTCAAGAATCACGAGATCATGACCTGAGCCGAAGCTGGACACTTAACCGACTGAGCCACCCAGGCCCCCAAGACTACAAGGTTTAATTAAAATCTTCCTCTGTCACCTATGCAAACCACTGAAGTGGCTTCTTGGGCCCCATCGTTACCAGCATCAGTTGTCCTGACTCAGTGGCGTCGACCACCGAGCACCAACCCTACGGCCATTAAAGTCCTTTCTATGGTCACTATGTGGACCACGTCATGGTCCATGCTCACTCACTTCAGGCACTGATTTCCTGCTCTTCTTCCCTTCCTCTTTATTCCCGTCTGTTGGTTCTCTTTTCCCCCCTTGACAAAAACTTAGAGTCTGTTGTGTCCCAGGATTGAGGATTCAGAAAAGGTAAGAGATTATTGCCAGTCTGAGACATCACACAATGCAACTGAGTGTGAGGACAAAGATACAGATTTACACAGAAAAAGTATAATGTCCTACATCATATTCCCTTGAAAGAAGGAACGAGGGACGTGGATAGGGGAGAGAGGGGCTGAGAGAGGGAGTCAGAACATGCCGTGAGAGAGCTACACAGCCAAGCAGGGGCAGAGAGAGAGAGGAGACAGGGTGGACAGAGCCTATAACTCTCCCTGGGGAGCCTTGGGGAAGTTTTCACAGCGGTGTTTGTATTTGAGATAAATCTTGAGGAAGAGTAGAAGTTTGGTGTGAAAATAGAAGACATTACAGGCAAAGATGAAGGAAATAGCCCTGTTTTGCCTCAGTAATGGAACATTCCATGGGACTGGCTTCAGGGAAGCAGGGATGGAAGTTTGAATGGGTGCCTTGTAGGCAGCACCCAAAGGGTTTGTGTCAATATTTAAGATATTGAGATCTTACCTAGTAGTAGGGAGACACTGGGGGAGGGGTTGACTCATGATCAGATTGACCTCAGGGGCGCTCTGGAGGAGACACTGGAGTAAATGGGAAAGAGCTGAAAACAGCAGGTTTCGTTAAGAAAGGACGTGGGTGTGAGCCATGGGTGAGATGTGGACGGTGAGGAAGGGGCAGATGGAGATTGGCTGATACAGAACAGGCGGGACTGAGTGACAGAGAAGGAAAGGGGGGATGTGGCACCAGGATTTCAAAGTCAGAGAAGACAGACTCGTCACTCCTGCTATTTTCTTTGTCAGCCTCTGACACGAGTCTCATCCAACCTAACCACATCCCTCCCTGACTTCTTGCCACCTGCCCTCAGGAAACTTGGAAGGCAGTGGCCCTGTGGCCAATAGAAGCCCTGAGTCAGCAGATCTATCCCAGTCACCTCCTTGCCTGCAGCCCCTTCCCAGGGGTCCTCCAGCCCAAATAGCTGCGGGCCGAGCTACCGGGCTCTGGGCTTACACCTCCTCATCCTCCATTTCAGCCCCCACCAGCTTTAGAAATGACCCCCTCTTGGGGCGCCTGGGTGGCTCAGTCAGATGAGCATCCGACCGGCTCAGGTCACGATCTCACGGTTCGTGGGTTCGAGCCCCGCATCAGGCTCTGTGCTGACTGCTGGCTCAGAGCCTGGAGCCTGCTTCAGATTCTGTCTCCTCCTCTCTCTGTCCCTCCCCCGCTCACGCTTTGTCTTACTCTGTTTCTCAGAAACAAATAAATGTAAAAAAATAAAATAAAAAAGAAATGTCCCCTTCTCTGTTCCACAAATCCCAACCACAGGTAGGCAGACTCTCCTTCCCAAATCACTGTCTTCTGTGAAATGGAAACGGAGAGATACTTGCTTCGGATTATGCTGAAGTCAGAGCACCCTTCTACTTTCGGAAGCTAAAGCTAAAATGGAGAAGCATTCATTCATTCACAAACATACTCATTGAGCTGGCAGCCTGCCAGATGGATAAAATAGAAACATTGCCGCCAGGAATTCAGGGATGAGCCAAGTCCCTGCTGTCGTGGGATGCACACTCTGGTGTCAGAGAGGCAGATCGAGACAGGTGGGCATGTCACACAACAACGGCAGGTGATTGATGGGACTGTTCAGGACACGGTGTTGGGGAATACGTAGGCAGGGATGGACCTGCTTGAAATAGATTCCTTAAGGAAGCCCTCTCTGAGGAAGTGATATTTAAGACAGAAAGACAAATGAGAAAGTAGCCACAACATGCAAAAACATAGGTCTAAAATGCTATATAAATGATAAAGTGCAAGTCAATATTGACCAGGAATAAAGGCAAACACAGAGCCACTCTTTCCATACCCCTACAGAATGCCAGCCAGGAAGTCATGGGATCTGGAGGTGTTTTGTTTTTGTCATGCTCATGTGAAAGGGACCCTCCAGTTTTAAGAAACTCACATTCATCTTGCATATAAAGACACGAATGGGCCTACGAGAGACACGCTATCTCAGGGCTTGGCAAAAACTTTCACGAAGAGGAAGATAAATTATCTTAGGCTGTGTGGGCCATACGCTCTCTGTTGTGCTACTCAATCCACCAGAAGAGCCTGGAAGCCACGGACAATGTATAAATGAGTGAGCGCTCCTCTGTTCGGTCATTTTATTTATGGATGCTAAAAACAACAATTTTCACAGGTCACAAAATATTTATTTTTGCAGACATGTGAAACCCTAAACTCTTTTCTTCATTCATGGGCTTACAAACACGGGCAGTGGGCTGTATTTGGTTCTTGGGACCTGGTCTGGCCATCCCTGCTCTGCAGCAAGGTGGTTGAGAGAGCAAACTCTTGAGCAGACTGCCTCGGTTCGTTTCCAGATGACTCCATCTGCCAGGGGTGCACTCACACGTCCAGGCCAAAGAAAATTTACTTTGATCCTGTTTTGTTCTCTTATCTTTCTGTCCCTCTTTTCTTAGTCAAACTTCTTAGAACAATAATCTATACTCCCTCCCCGGGGCAAACTGTGTTTTACCAAAACGACTTCGACATGCTTCCAGCCTCTGATGCTCTTCCAGAATCATGTCCCACCCTTAACCCCTCTAAGAGGTGGTATTGAGGTTCCCTCCCCTTAAAACTGGGCAGGCCTTTGTGAGTACTCCAGCTAACTGAGCCCTACAGAAGAGATGCTCGAAGA